ACAAAGAATAAACTTTCAATTTATTCCCATTTCTAGAATCAAATTTTAGTCTTAAGAGGTGGCTCCTCATATTCTATTAATTGTTTTGTTTGAGGGTGTGGGAAGAATTTTTGCTATTTAGATAATAGAAAATTGAAGAAGGATTTTTCCTTTATTTTGTTTTAATTTCTTTTACATTTTAGTATAAGGGAAGAGAAGGGAAGGGTTCCTCAATTTCCCTCGAACAAAAAAAGGGTATATTTATATCCATTCAACAAAAATAATATATTTTTGGGTAAAAAAAAAAAATTGTTACTAGTAATTTGTTTTGTTAATAAAATTTCACAAGTAAGGTGATAATAAAGAATTGGCAAATGGAGCGACCATCAAAGAGTAAGGATATTTTAATTCTATTTAATAGTAATAGTATATTTAGATTGAATGAAGTCAACGGGAAAGGAGGGAATTTTTTTTTTTACTTTATTTTTTTAATTAATTTATTTATTCAAAGGAAGAAAAATAAGAATATAAATATTCTCCTCTCCTCCCTTCCCTTTTATTCTCCTTAACTTAAATATATAGTAAATTACTAAAAATAATTAATTTTTTTAATTCTACTGCATCAAATATTAAGAAAATAAGAAATATGAGATGCATAAATTATTAGAAATTAATTGATTTAATATTACTTTAAAAGTTACTTATCAATAAATACTAAAATTTGGTGTTTTATAATTTAAAGTTTTAAAATTTTTAGCAATATCAAGTTAAAGAACACTAACTATTAAATAAGACTCTCCTACAATATTGAGGGTACCCTCTTAACACAGCTAGATTGCCATATATATATATATATATTAAAAAAGTGAATATCAAATTGTATTGCAAAACATTAGATAAAAAAATCTTAAAATTACATTATTTTAATAAAATCTTATTTAAAAAATGAAATATCTTAATTATTTTTAAAGTAAGGATAAAGATATTTTTATTTTTTCTTGTAATATTTTATTAAAATAAAATAATTTTAAAGTTTTTTCTACCTAATTTTTTTATAAAATCAACTGATAAATATTAATCTCTCTATATATATATATTTTTTCTTTTTGATAAATATTATCAGCGAATTCATTTCACTCTTTCAATCCTCTTCAATGAACTCCATAAAATAGCCAACATAGATTATTTGATGTTGGCCTGATAAAGAACAGCACATGTGGGTATTATGGGTACTGTCGTCGCATAAAGGTCGAAACCGACCACAGTCTCCGGGTGGCGGTTAATTTTCATGTGTTCATAAAGGGGGGGTCACCCGTTGCGGCTAATTTTCACGTGTTCACATATATTATTGAAAATAACCACTCATGTTGTTAGGCATCAACTCATATATATAAATGTCAAACCGAGTATCCATCGTTTGTGTCAATATATGATTTACCAGAAGAAAAAAAGTGTCATAAGTGTCAATATGAACATAAGATATTGAGAAACAGTGAATATATATTGTCAAGTGTCAATAATTTAAATAATTTAAAATTATTTTTTTAATAAAAATAAAATATCATATATTCGTTAAATCCTTAATGACCTAAGGATCACCCTCTTGAAAGAGTGCGATGAACATATTGTTTGAGTTCATATTCTAAGGTCTACAATCCCCTTCCCCTAAAAAATTCCTTTCTATTCAAAAAAAGATATCATATATTCAAATTATAGCTTTGTATGTGAGGTAATTTTTTATTATAAAAATAAAAATAAAAATGATCACATGAGAAGAGAAGAAAATCTTGAATGCTATTTCGTGGAAAACCACAAATTTTTGTCAAACCCATCATGAAATATTGCCTTCAAAAGGTAACGTAATTTCCCACTTTTTTATGTACTCTAGAGAATATTTATAAAGTTCCTCATGAAAATACCATTTGGTTATTTATGAAAATATCATTCTTAATTGAAAGTTTGAATTCTTGATAATTCTCCTTTTTTTCATTCTCTTTTACTATATTAGGTTTAATTGTAATTTGCTAAAAAAAAACTTATAACAGTATGATGTGGATAATAATCAAAAAAAATTTTTTTTCTTGTAATGTTCGGTTGCAATATTTTTTTGCTACAATTTTTAGTTTCTACATTGTGAAGAAATATCCTATGATAAATAAATATCAATTTATGCGTCACATCAGTAAAAAAAAGAGAAAAAAAATGGAGTAATCAACTACGTCTTGTCATGGTAAAATTTAAAAAAATATTACAACTTAATAATTTTTTTGTTCTTTTCTTCAATTCTTCTTCTGATGTAATCAAAGTCAAACGCCGTCTTACTTTTGTCCAGAATGTTCGTATTAAATTATAATAAATAATTACTTAAATTCTACGACCTCCAATGAAAGTGGACCGCATAGCGCAGTGGATTAGCGCGTTTGACTTCGGATCAAAAGGTCGTGGGTTCGACTCCCACTGTGGTCGATTTCATTTTCCGTTGATTATCTTTTTTTTTGCTCTGACTCCCACTTTGGACCAACAGCAGAAAACACGGCTTGATTTCGTTATGGCCTAAAACATTGGACCAAAAGCTCAAATATTAGCCCATCTCACTCTAACGGATTTCATCATCATGAGCATTGGCCTAGACATAATAAACAAAAAGCCCAAAAGGTTGCCCAACTACTGTAGTAGCCAGACTTAACAGCCTTAACAGGCTAGAAGGCCTAATTTATGCCTGTCCCGCTCTCAATTGTCCAACTTTTGTTTGGACAGATGAATAAAAATGTGACCCAAAGCCTAGCAATTACCAGCTCCTGATTTTTGATATTTTCATAGATTTTTAGTTTTACAAAATATAAAAGCTACTCAAAATTGATTACCAGAAATGGGAAGTTTGATACACATCATAGAAACTCTTGTAAAAGTCTAATAATTCATTAAATTAGGAAGGGTTGAGATTTAAGGGTTAAAAAAGAAAATTCAACAGCAAAAATCGAAACAATATCATTTTGTTTCATCTTTAAAGAATTTAACACTACTGAGGTATTCCTCCTATGTTAATCCACCCTTACACCTTAAGGGCATACTTCCTCATTGGAAAGTACATCTCCCTCTTCTTCTCACGTTCTGTTTTCAAAGACACTTACATATAAAACAGCATGCATAATTATTAAGGTCATATTAACAGCACGACAATTAGACTACATGTAGGGATAAAA